TCTCGGTGAGATCCAGCAACAGCTGCACCTGTCGGGGGGTGCTGGGCACCGGAACGTGTTTAATGGCACCGAATTCCAAACGGATGGGGATGCTGTGGGCTCGGTTGGAATTTAACTCATCCCCTTGTCCTCGCTGACGAGTGTCACCAAAAGGGGCCGTGGAGATTGCAAACTGGGGCAAACTGGGTTCCTCGAGGGTTCCTGACTGGCAAAGTGTGGAACGTACCGTCTGCGCTTCCGTTTCATTTAGGGAGCATCGGAAGGGCTCCCACTGGCTGGATCGAGGCTGTGAAAAAGGTTCCTTGTCTTAACAAACCACCAAACCTGGTGGCTTAACCAAAGTCAGTTAAAAAAAAGAAAGAAAAAAAAAGAAAAAAAAGAAAAAAAAAAAGAAAAAAAAATCTGCTTTAAACTACAACAATTTTCAGCATTGTGTGTGTACCCCCATGACACCATTATCCCATTGTTTCTCCAGAAAATTACAGCCTCTGGGCTGCTGATGTTCAGAAAGCATGGGAGCAAGCGAGCAAGCCCCTTCGGGGCTGGGCAGCTGTGCAACGGGTTTGTTCCGTGCCCCCACAAAAACACACACCCTGTGCTTTCTGCTTGCAAAGAAAGGGTCTCCCAGGGGACCCTGTGGCAGGAGAGGGGCTGCAAGGCACTTCTGCCCCTCAGGAGCTGACAGCACGTGGTGGGCTTCCCAACCCTCTTTGTCCTGTGCCTCAGCTGCGCAGATGAAGCACTGTCACAGCAGAAGAAAGCCAGGAAGCCCTGGCTGGCCCGCTCACAGCTTGCTGCCCGGCACACAGCTGGAATTGCTGCAGCTGTCTGATATTATTTACGTCACACAAAGAAGGACAACAATAGGAGGGAAAATTTACGTTAGGTGAGCGAAGTGGTGTTGATTAATGTTCGGTCACATCAGGCTCGGCGTATTCAGCTAACGAGGGCAGCAGAGGACAGCCCCTGGGGGGGCTCATTGTGTGCCAGGCAAGACACAGCAGGCTGCAGGGCTGGGGCTGCAAAGGCTCTGCCCCAGGGGCTCCAACACCGCAGGGAGAGCCAGAGCAGGCTCCTCTCCAACCCAGGCCCGGTGGGATTCTCAAACACCTTCAGCTGGCCTGTGTTCACCTGCCCTTTAGTCGCCCTCTCTGCAGGGTGGCATGTACGCCAGAGGGTGGTCCCCCACATCCAGCGTGTCCTGGCTTCACCCCCGCCATCCTTGCCCCTGCAGTGGAGGTGGCAGGAGGAGGAGGAGGTGGTGGTGTTGGGGGGGAGCTGGCAGAGAGCTGTGGGGTCAGAGTGAGGAGAAGAGGACAGCAGGTGCAGGGCGCTGCGGAGCGGGGAGGAAGAGGGGGGCTGAAGGGGGCCAGAGCAAGGACACGGCACACAAAAAGGAAGAAGGAAGGAATTACAGTGCCACAGGCTCCCTAGGGAGAAGTCGCTAGGGGTCCAGACTCCTCACAGAACCACAGAATCACAGAATCTTCTAGGTTGAAAGGGACCTTAAAGATCATCTTGTCCAACCGTCAACCTGACTGACAAAAATAGACACCCACACAACAAACAAGGAGCATCATCACTGAACCATACCTCCCAGCACTACATCAACCCGTCTTTTGAACACCTCCCCAGCCTGAAGGACGGAGACAGCACAGGCGCTGCACGGGCCAGTTCATGGTGCACAGAGCAGCGCTGGTGTTGCTCTGCTATCTCATAAACAGAAGCCCTTCATCACCAAAGAGCATTCTCTGAGCACACAGACCTAAACGCCTGACACAAAAATATCATGGAGGTCGGAAAAATCATCACAGTTCCATATTAAAGTATTCAGTGACTATAGCAGATTTAAAAAAAAAAAAAAAGATAAAAGGATAGTGAAGTTTTGCTTTCACCTATCTGAAGGAACACCACCAATTATTTGCAACCTTTTGTTATGTAAATTATTTGAGTTTATCAAAACATACAAAATATTTTCTGGAAAACGTCCCTTACCTGTTAAAAATATTTATTAAATAATGTTAATTACCCTTTTCCACTTCTGTTTTAACTACAGAGGAGTCTCTTGCACTGATGCTGGTGGACCCTATGGGAGAATGATCTTGTTTGTAGCATTGTATACCAGTTAGTGTTAGATTTGTGAGGGCCATATTCAGTTCTTGCTCTACATCTGCTTATTCTTCCTGCTTATTCACCAAGAATGCACGTGGAAGCAATATTGGCAAACAGACTGTGCTGCACAATATAGCACAAGGGAACCAGTCCACAATGTATATAAACAAGAAGCCTAAGTCCATGTTTAGGTGAAGTCAGACAATACACATAAAGGTTACTGCAAATTTTCCATTTTTCATTTCTGTGCTGAGTTTTATTATTGGAGTATGTTACAGACTGAAGGGAATTTTGTGCTCAAGCACAACCTTTTTTAGAGATTTTCACAAAGTATAATGTTTATCTGATCTCTGGATGGGGCTATTTGACCTTCTAATTGTCATTGTCAATAAGAACTAGCTATTGTCTTTTCACTCTTGTGTATCCTCTGAAGTACAAACTCCAGCTTAACTTACTTGAGGTTAGTGTCTTGGATAAGAATCAAAACATGATTATTGGATACTGTGTTTTCAAGAAATTTTCATAAAGCCAGTATCATTTTGTAAGGAAGTGTCCTACAGAGATATATGACTGTAATTTTTTATATAGGATCTGCAAGTAAACCTCAACCCTTGAAATATTTTTTATGCTTGTTTTACATAAATCAACAAAATTCTAAGCATGCAGAATACAGAAGATGCCGACATTATGTATTTTGCTTTACAGAAGTGTCCGTGACTTGTTCGAATTCCAAGTAATGGGGTAGGGGAAGTACATCAATGATCCTCAACTCAGCTTTCATATTTTGCGTCAGGAGACTCGCTGTTATGGAATTATGTGGATGATTAAAAATTGGAATTCACGGGCAATTAAGACACAGGAATATTAATGCAAGTAAAGTATCAGCTCTAAACCACATCCTTCCATATTTATGTCAACACTTCTGGGTTTGATCCTGCCACATGTTCATAAAAATTTTGTAGAATGTAAGGTTTCAAACCTGGGTTTCAGAAGAAGTTTTGCTTTTTCAGAAACACAAATCAAAGCCCTGTTTTTTCAAGTCAAGGCGTATATCCATTCTCAATGCACCTATTCACTTTTCATTTACACTAATAGGAATTCCACTCAGGCAACCAAGAGGAAAAAGTTCCTGAAGAGCTTTAGGATGGGGGAGGGAAGATGCAGGTCACCTTTTTTTCCATCTTCGCTTATGGCTCCACAACAGCACAGAGATGAACTGGGCCCTAAGGCAATGCAAAGAAAGTCTACTCTCTTATTTATCTCCTAAGCCTTCTTTCAGCCTGCCTTAAGAACAGCCATAAGCTGCTCATCCTCCTTATAGAAACAGATGTTTAAGGTGGCAGCTGCTAATAGCTACCCTTGCCTCCAGAGCTTGTGCATCTCAGCGCAAGAGGTGGTCACAGAGTGAACAGGCCAAAGCACCTGGACAGACTGACTAGAAGGCAGCTGGTCCCTGGAGGGAGGAAAAGAGGAGAAAAGTGCCCTTAGAAATATGTACCTTATGTACCTCATTACAGGGCTAATTATAATGTACCGAAAAAAAAAAAAAAAAACACAACAGTTTTTTGCTACTGTCAACATTGCCAGTGTTGTGTTTTTCTGAGGGGAAAAAAAAAAAAAAAAAGGATATATGTTTCTTCTCCCATGTTCCTCCGAAACTAGAGAAGAATGATCCCAGATCGGTGTCATAGGTTTTTATCATGACACTTTCTGCCACAAATTTCATGCAGATCTGAAACCACGGGCGGGGG